AGAAAGAGGAGCAGCAAGAGAACAAGGAGGGGAGGACCTCGGGAGCCAGCCACCTAATCACTTAGCCAGCCATGGAGGAAGAAGGAAAGGAAAAATCCCAGAGGCAAAGGGCAAATGGGATAATTTAAGTTAAGAAATGCTGGCTAGCAACACTTTAAACCAAGGAAGGCATTCATAAGTAATAACAAGCTTCCATGTGTGTGATTTATTTGGGAGCTGGGTGGTGCGACCCTCAAAGAAACAAAGAGTAAAACATCACTGTAGAAGGAGCTGTGGGCTGCATTCTGCCACCCGGCTCCCAGCTGCCTGGCTAGCTTATGCCCCTAAATAACAACACACAAATTGTATTCATTTAAACAATGCTTGGCCCATTAGCTCTAGCCTCTTACTGACTAACTCTCACATCTTAATTAACCCATATCTATTAATGCCTGTAGCACCTTACCGGGAAAATTCGAGCCTACGTCCATCTTGGATCAGAGCTTCATCGCGTCTGCCCTGGAGAGGAGCGGCATGGCATCTGGCTGACTTCCCTTCTTCCCAGCATTCTGTTATGTCTATTTCACCTACCTACTTTTCTGACCTATCAAGCCAAGCAGTTTTCTTTATTGATTAACCAATGAAACAACAGATTGACAAATTACCTCCCCACATCATATTACACAACAGTCTGTAATTAATATTAAGCTCAGAGTGGTTATTTGAAAACTAGTGGGCAGGAGAGAAACCTCCACTTACAACCTGACATTTCGATTTTCCTTGAAACCTCTGGAAATCACCTCTCCTATCCAAGCATCACCATGGTCATGAGATTCAATATTAATTGTATCTCTGATCCAATCCTTCAGGAGTGTTGATCTTTCCTTTAGATGCCTAATTAACCATTTGCAATGTTCATTAGCATTTTCAAAAGTCAGAGATTCAAATATTATTTGTCTACCTTCTGAATCTGGCATCATTCTCTTTACTGCTGAAGTCAATTTTTGTAAGAAATCTGTGAAGGTTTTCTTGGTTCCTGTATAAATTTAGTAAATGCCTCAATTTTCTTTCCTACATTTCCAGTTCTGTCCCATGCATTGAAAGCTTCTGCGTGGCATAAATCCAGGGCATGGTCATCATATTGAGACTGCCTTTGTATATCAGCATAATCTCTTTCTCCAAGAAGTTGGTCGTGGGGTATTTCTATACCTCTAGCTCTACTTCATTGTTCAATGTCTTTGCCTCATCTTTCCACCAGGTCCTCCATTGTAATTGAGAAACAGGCTCCAAAACTGCTGTAACCATCTCTCTCCAGTCTTTAGGGTAATTCTATTACAAGTTGACCACAAGTTTAACATCTGCTTCACAAAGGGTAAATGCATGTCACATGAGACTACCACTTCCTTGAATCTCCTTAAATCTAACATTTTCACATTTCCACAGAAGTCCATTTAACTCTTGCACAGCTTTGGGGATATCTATCATTTGGCAGTTGTTCCTGTACGAAGACTGGATATATTAAAGTTACTTGTTTGAAAACCTTAGGCTGTTTCTCTCTAACCTTCTAATGCAATGCTGAAATTGGTTCTCTATCAAATTCCTCTGTCTGGATCTGAATATCTCTATGATCTATTTTAATAAGTTTTTCTAAGGCCCATTTCTTGGCACTCAGATCAACCAACCTTTTAAGAGGTAAACCAAGAATTGTCAAACCAACAATGCAACCTTCCTAATGCTGTGACACTTTAATAGAGTTCTTCATCTTGTGGTGACTCCAGACCATAAAATTACTTCATTGTTACATCTTAACTGTAATTTTGTTACTGTTATTAATCATAATGTAAATATCCAATATTTAGAATATCTGATATGTGACCCCCCCCCCAAAAAAAAGGTTTGCTACCTGCAGGCTGAGAACTGACTTAGGATATATCATTAATTCATTTATTTGAAATCCTGTAGGGTTTTTTTTGTAAGGCATTTAGTGCTATAAATGTTCCTCTTAGGACAACCTTCATTACATTGCACAGATTATAATATGCTTTGTCTTCATTTATATAACATTGTTCTTTTTTTTCATTTTTTTCTGGGCTTAATCTGACCCACAGTCATTCAATAGTGTGTTATTCTCCATGAGTTTAGGCATTCTGTATTTCCTATGGCTGTTGACATCTAGCTTTATTTCATTGTGGTCAAGTGAAGTGTAAGTAGAGACTTGCTTTGTGTCCTAAAATATGATAATTTATTTTTTGTCCAAATAACCTGTCAGTTGTGGAAGTGGAATATTGAAGTTGCCCACTATCATTTACTTTCACTGTGTTGAAAATAATCTGTTCTTTTACACCTGTTAGTATTTGTTTTATGAAATTAGGAATCCCTGTAATTCATATTTTTAGAATCTTTAAAAGTGAGCACTGTTTTGTCAAATTACAAATTAATTCCTAATCATGGTATTCAAGGCTCCTCTTAGTATGGAGCCAATTAATTTTAAGCTTTAAATTTTCAAACAGTTTCTATTTTATCTTTTCTGTAGCCAACTTCCTGTTCATCTACCAGTCTGTTTCCCATGGGCGCCCCTGTCTCTGGTGTATTCTGTACCAGGGTGACTCCATCTCCAGTCTTTTCAAGATGAAACACTGCTTGCAGCCTCAGCCCCAGTTGATTTTCGTACGTAACATTCTGTTTCATGCCTCATAGTTTCACAATGGCAGTACTGAATCAACTTCCATTTTCACAGGAAAAGGAAACTAATAAATTATTTTGCATGAAAGTCTTGTTATGGGGTCGGTGACTTGTTTCCCTCCTTTCCCTAACATGTCGTTTCCTGGAAGTAAACAGGGCAAGTGAAATTGAAGCTTTCACTTCATTCTTCTTCTCCCGAGACAGCGTAACTCTGGTTCATTTGCAGTGCTACGTCATAGTTTTATACAGCTCCTCACATTTGTATATGCGCACTTACACCCATTGGTATTATTTTAAATGCCTTTAAACATCAAAAACAAAATACTCTGTGCTTTAACTTTTAACTGAGTAATGATTTACCAGATTTATTCAAGTCCACACACATACATCCAGTGGGCACCCTTGTCTCTGACATCTAGCTTTATTTCATTGTGGTCAAATGAAGTATAAGATATTATTTCTAAGTTGAGACTTGCTTTGAGTCCTAAAATATGATAATTTTTAGATTTTTAGATAAAATTCTATGACCTGCAGAGAAGAATGTGTACTCAGTGTTTGAGCATCATGTTCTGTGGAGGTCTATTTGATTTATATTATCTCCAATGTCCTCAGTTTCTTAATTCACTTCTGTCTTTTTGTTTGTTCAGTTATTTCCTGTCTCACTTTTATTCTTAATTTCTTGAGACCCGGTGTGTTAGCCAGGGTTCTCTAGAGGAACATAACTTACAGACTTATACATGCGACTTATTCTAATGGCTTACAGGCAGCCGTGCCCCGAGAGTGCTAAGACACATGATTAAGCATGCTTCTAAATCTGTAATATTTAAATTTTTCTTATACCATGGGAATTTCCAAAAACTTAGGGTTGGAGGAAGCTAACAGTAAATGGTTGCAAAATCTCCCACTAATGATGTGTCATGCCTTATCTGGCCTGCCTCCTGAAGCTGCATGCATGGCCGATCTAGCATTTTGTCTACAGTGACTACACACCTGTCCTCCACGCCACTCTAGGATAAGCCATGAAAGCAGTTATGAGAGCATTAACCCTTGTTTTCTTTGAACCAGGTCTTTTGAGGTGGATACCAGGAAAGAAATGGGTTCAAAGTTGATACTCCCAGCTGAGCAATAAGAGTCTGCTTAGACAATTCGTGAAGGATAACCCAAGATCCAATTTTCCAGTAAATTATATTAAGATATATTTTTTGTCTAATAACAATATATTAAAAACAATGCTAGAGTGCCAGGTGGTGGTGGTGCATGCCTTTAATTCCAGCACTTGGGAGACAGAGGCAGGCGGATCTCTGTGAGTTTGAGGCCAGCCTGGTCTACAAGAGCTAGTTCCAGGACAGGCTCCAACGCTATAGAGAAACTCTGTCTCAAAAAAACAAAACAAACAAACAAAAAAACCAAAAGAATAGTCTAGGAAGGGTTACTATTTTGAATGTGTTCAAGTTTACGTAAATTCAGTAACAATATTGGAAAGGAAAATAGCTGACTAACTCATAACCATTATTATAGAAACAATAAAAACTATTTTAACATTGATTGAAAACTTGCTCTGTGCCCAATGCAAAGAATTTTATGTAAGCCATCTTACTAATTGGAAAGCTATCAGGTAAACACAGTGAGCTTTACTTACACAACCAGAGGCACAGGGTCCTTTGTTACAGTTTCTTAAGGAGTAGAGACCAAGCCGTGACCTGCTATATCGTACTTCTCATTCTGAATCAGAATGGACACTGCAAATTACGAGAACAGAATCAGCAGATTAAAAAACAAAAACCCAAGAGAAGAAGTTGGCTGCCTTCCCCAAACTAAATGATTAGTGACGGTGAGGTCAAGTTCAGACATATCGAAGGCACACGTGTTTATAGTTCGTCATAACTGCTGCTGCTGTGAGCAAGAAGGATTCACTCCCCTCAAACGTGAGGGCTGCTTCCTCTGACACAGACACTAGACTTGCTGTGTAGTATCTGGCCATGTGGGCAGAAAAAAAAGCTAGATATTGGGCTTCCTTGATTCTGTTGGAGAAAGCATGACCTTTCTCACACTCTCTCTGTGTTCTGTCTCACAGTTTCTCTATTTCTCTCTACCCACCTCCATAAGTTACTGAGTACCCTCCCTTTTTTTTTTCCAGCCAAGAAGAAAAGGATTGCGTTTCCATCTAGGCTATGTAGACAACCTGATTGTCAGCCGACTTGGGTCTCCATGTGGCTCTTCTCTCGGGCTCACTAAACATACTTGCAGCCATCCTCTCTTCTTTAGGAAGGTGTCTGTGCCCCCCTGCTGCAGTGACGCACAGCTCAGCTGGACTAAATCCAGCAAGAGCTGGACTAAATCCTGCAATTGTATGTCCAGAGCGTTTAGCTGCAATTTGAGACAGTTTCAGCAAGACCTGAAACTGGCCTCCACACAGGAGATAACGTACCCTTCACTTGTCTGGCAGATAGTTTTTGTCTTCTGTCCAACTTTTTGAAAGATGGAATTTTGAAACTATTTTCTTAAGCTCTCAGCATTCTTATTTTGATCTTCCTTGCCCAGGGAACCCGGTGTTTTCTCACTGCCTGGATTAGCACAAGCAGGACTGATTCTTGAAGGTGTTAGGGGTTTTCTCAAAAAGCAACGAGACTTGAAGTACGAGACAATGACTTCTGGATTGAAGCCAAGTCTAAGGTGACTCTTGATTTTTTTTCCAGCACCTACTAATTTTGACCTGGAAAGTGTTTTTTTTTTCTTTCGTATCCTATTTATTTCAAATAGTGTACTGAAGTTATAGAAATCAGAAAATTTCCAAACATGATGAGATCATTTTAAAAATTAAAAGGACAGATGGTGGAGTACACCTTTAATCCTAGGACTTGGGAAGCAGAGGCAGGTGGGTTTATATAAGTTCGAGGAGAGCATGGTCTACAGAGCAAGTTCCAGGGAAAGCCGAGGCTATACAAGGATATGGATGGTTTCTGTATTGGGGGAGGGATGGGGAGTGGGGATGGGCTTTTTTTCCCCCTCACCTTAATCTCTGGAATTGAGAACTCCCAACAAGGAAAGACCTCAAGGACTTTGGAACTGGAAGGAAACCTCAGTTACCTGGCACTGAGCAGTCGCTAGCGGTCATTCTCTGTTCCACTCTCCAAGAGAAAGGCGGGGGAAGGGACAGAGGAGAATGTTTGGAAGCAGTGGTGGGAGATAAGGAGTTGGGGTATTCCTGGAATTAGGGAAGATGGGGGAACAATAGGTAGGAGAACAAGAGAAGAGAGGGGACACCTGACAGAAGAACCTAGGGATAAGGTAGCAGGGATGGGACTCAGGAAACAGAAAGGTGAGGGGGCGGGGACACCTTGCAGCGGGTCACGGGGCGGGGACGCCAGGTGTAGGAGGCCCGGCGTCTGCGTGGGAGGAGCGATCTGGAGCCGGGAGTGATTCACCTTTCCCGGCCCTTCTGGCTCGGCTCGCCCCAACTCCGGATCTGGGCGGAGGGGCCTTGGGGCGTGTTTCCCCACCCCTTGCGGACTTCGGAACTGACTCGGACAGACTGGCGCCGGAACAGGAGTGGTCTCTACTGGACGGCAGCTTGGTGGGTTCGGGTCCTGCAAGAATGCGAGCCCTGTCGGCCGTGGACGCACTTGCCAGAATGCGACCCCCTCTCCGGGACCCCAGGGCGGCGGAGGACACTCACACGGCTTTGCCAGCGCGCAAGAGCGCGGTGGAGAGACTGGCGGCCGACCGCGCCAAGTACATTCGGAGCACGCCGGGATCCAGCCAGGCTTCTGTCTCCGAGGGCAGGGTCCCTGAGGCCGCAGGGGTGCAGCACCGCAACCCAGTTCCTTCGGCTGTTCCTCCAGCTCCCGTAGCCCGCAGGGTTATCCCTCGGAAGCCGCTGAGACCTGATTCGTTGGTCATCTACCGACAGAAATGCGAATTCGTCCGAGGGCCAGGAACAGACGGTTCCAGAGTTGGGACGGTGAAGAAGTTTTCCCAGGGGTCTCCCAAGGACAAAATACCAGTGGCCCCTGAGACGACCGTGGTGTCAGGTGAGGCCAAGACGAAGGAATCAGAGGCCACTTGGACCAAGTCCGATCAGGCGGTAGCCACTAGTCCAGCCTCTCCGTTATCACCTCCCATCCCTGTAGTGGCCATGGAGTCCCCAGGTGTGCCTTTGAAGGTGGCTTCCGAGGTTCCAGTTGCACCCTCCGCAGGGGAGCTACGGGTGTCGCGTCGTAGAGGATTGCAGCGCTCTCAGTCAGATCTCAGCTCCCGCTACTCGATAGCCAGGGCCGAACCCGACAACTTCTTCCTTTATTGCGGCCTGGAACCTGAAGTGGTGGAGGCTCTTGGGAGAGAGAACTTCTCTGCTGGGTCCGACTGTGTTACATTCAAAGTGCGGAGCGTGAGCATGGCTACTTCTGATAGTAGCTTCTCCAGGCACAGCGAGGACGGGCTGCAAGAAGAGGAGCTCATGGAGCAGATGCCCAGCACCACCTCTGTAGTAGAAAGGAACGCCCGTATCATAAAGTGGCTGTTTACCTGCAAGAAGGCCAAAGAAACCCCCAGTCAGAGGTTGCAGGGACCTGCCTGATTGACGTTTGATCCAGGTTAGAGGGTGGGGGGTGTGTTTATATGTGTTGACTAAACTGGGTGCCGGCCAATCACAGCTCCTGGTTAGAAAACAGAGCCTACAGTAAGAAGGCTTGCATTTGCCCTTCTGGTGTTGAATTTGAGTATCTGGAAAGGTCACTCAGTTAACGCTCTCCCTGCTGGTTTATTGCAGTGTAGATGGTAGAAGGCAGAAGTACTAAATGGTCCAACCGGCAGTCTCACGCTCCCATTAACTCCTGTTTTGAAAGTAAACTCTGAGGCTTAGGTAGTTCTGCACCCAGCCAAACTCCTGGTGGGCCTTTCTGGTGTCTAAGGGGCATTCTCAGCTCCTCTTAAGCCCAGATATCCCACTTCCAGCAAGCCGCTGGGGATCCCCCACCCCCATCCTAGGCTTTGAGGTTTTGAGATCTTGGTACTCCTTTAGCAAGAAAACTATGTTTTGTTTTGGTTTCTGTTGTGTTGTTTTTTGTTTGCTTGCTTGCTTGTTTTGCCAGAGATGATAATACAGACAGTAAGCACCTCCCAGTCTAGGAAGTAACCACACACTTCTCTGTCCTCGGCCTATGCAAAGGCGCTAAGGTTGCACACCTCCTTCTTTTCATTTGTTTCGAATATACCTTGGGAGTAGGAAGGAAAAGACACCTTTAAAGGAGTATTGTTGCGAACAAGGCATTTAAACATTTCAGCAGGTTTTTTTTTCATTCTGCCTTTGAGAGCAAGTTACTGTGAAAATTTTTAAAAATCACATTTTCTGTCCCTGAGATGAATACTAACTAAAGACACCTTATTAGAATATGAAATTCCACGGGGGCAGACACTTAGATGCTTATATTCAGCCAACCTGTGTTTATGAACCAGCTGTTGAGTGGTCTTTATACAGATAGATCGTATGGAAATGTGAATTATTTTTTCTTGATTTCAGAAGACTCAAACTTAAGTTCTTCATTATAATTTATTGAAGATTTGCATATTACACTAGTTCAAGTCCCCAAGGAAGGTATTCAAAGAATAACAATAAAATAACAGAAAATGTTGCATCCGTTTGTATTTTCACGAAATTGTCTTTGAATCTGAGCCGTGTGGGCGGTGGCAAGGGTACCATGGTGCAGCTCTGAGCACTGAGACATAGAGGGGGTAGTGGATGAGTAGATATGGAGAGAGAAGAAACAGCGAAGGGCTCAGCCCATCTCACTGGCACACACGCTAGAGCTGACTTATATTCATCTACAAAAGGAAAGGAGACAGAGAAAGGTTGTTCCTCTTTGGTGTTATATTTTCTGTGTAGCCAATAATCTACATTTGTTGTTGGTGTTGTTCTGAGAGTGGTGCACAGGGGAGAAAAAATTGCCTATTTGAAGGAGACATAAGAAAACATAAATTGCCATAAGATAAACTTAGGGTGTAAATAATATTGGGGTAACAAGATGCCATACCAATAAGCTAAAGTAAAACCTAGAGGATACTCACCCCTATTTTCTCAAGACTTCCGGATGGTTTTGGCATCATCACATTAAATTTGCTCCATTAACTTCATCTATTAAAAGATTAGCGCAAAGCAGCCTGTGCTATATAAGCACTGCAGAGATATCTGGTACCTTGGGATGGTGAAATGACATTGCTGGGCCTTCTCTAGCTCCTTGAGCTGGTGTTTGTTTGAGCCCACAGCTCCATTCACCTACTCCGACCAGGTGGCTAACACCAAAGCTGAGAGCAAAGTATGCATCTGTGGTTCTAGTTTTTCTTCTAGCTTACTTTTGTGTTGAAATAGGATTGCAGGAAAATTACAGAGTATCTGAGATGATCAAAGGTGGGATTTAGAAGTAAAAGACTAAATGCCATTTATAACAGTGGTTCTCAACCCAAGGGTTGTAGACCCCTTGGAGCTCTAACAACCCTAGCACAGATGTCAACAAAGACCATCGGAAAACACAGATATTTATATTACTATTCATAACAGAAAAATTAAGAGTTCTGAAGTAGCAAGGAAAATACTTTTGTGGTTGGGGGTCACCACACCTGAAGAACTGCATTAAAGGGTCGAAGCAATAGGAAGGTCGAGAACCACTTATGTTAATGAGTGTTTTGTTCACTTAGTAGACAGAGACCTATAATTTGTAATAAAATATCCTTCTAGGAATTAAAGCATAAGTTTATAAGTTTCTTACCCAGCGGAATAAAAACATTTGCTGGTCAAAATTAAAAATAGCATAACTGCATACAAATCATAGAATTTTCACACCACCCCTAGGGACATGTGAGTAGACGGACGGTCACACATGGACAATTTTCGTAATGTTTCCCAGAGTATAAATCACGAGAATTGACTTTACACCTTCAATTTTCAATTATAATCCTATGCATCAATTAATCAAGTTATTACCTGAAGAAATGTAGGTTTTTCTGACTTCTTAAAAAATAAAATACACAAATTGCTGGTTTTAATATTCAAATAAAAGAAATAATTTGTCCTTGGGTAGCTAGGGATAAACATGGCTTGATTTTTGGATTAAAAAAATCAGATATTGACAGCTACCTTCCCATTTCTTCTTGGAAAGAAAGAGTACCTGTAGAAGTCCTAACTGTATCTGAAATTTGGAAGACAGGTACACAGTTCCCTTCTTGGTGTGCACTGGGAGCTCGACAGTGTCTCCAGGAACAGAGGGTAAGCAAACAAGTGACCAAAAGATGCTAAGGCCATCCTTCTCTGCTTCCTGGTCAGCACCTGGTCCTAGTGGAGATGCTAGTCTTTGGAAAAGATGGAATCTGTTTGCCTCAAGTGTTCTATCAGACAGCCTACCTTGTTTTTGGTTTTGTTGCCTAGCCCTAGGCCAGTATTCCTAGGTGGAAGGTTTTGTCAGTATTCCACTGTATGAGTTGTTGAAAGAAAAGAGAAATTTCAAAATTCCAGGAAAAGGCTTGTAGAGAGAGATAGTTTTCTATCAAAGAACCCAGATCAAAGCTCCCTTTAACATACCTATTTTTTTTTCAAAATTTAAAGCACAAGAAAGATGTATTGAAATAATAGAACTATTATAAAACCAAAGAAAGGAGAGGCCATATTCTGTCGTATGTTTTATAGCAGATGAGATGTGACTCATGGTTCATTTCTGTTTTCTCCACAGGAAGCAAACTTTTCTATGATGAAGGGACCCTTAGATTGAATGGACTCCTGAGCCATGTGTTTGGTTCTGTTGACCAGGCTTGTATATTAGCTATGGTGAAGTGCTGCGGTGAAGATGGGCTGGAAGATATTAGTAGCTGTGAGAGGCAGCCTCCTTGTACATCCCAAAAGGCAGCTGAAGAAATGATAGCTGTTGGAGAATATTTTCAAGACTTTTTTTTTGTCTGATGTACTGACAGTTTCTGCAATGTGTTTTGATAATATGTAAATAGATGCTTTCAAAGAAAAGAAGAAAGTATGAAATCAAGCATGGATGCGGTAGTATACTCCTTTCAACTAATTTATGCTACTTAAAGTTATGTAAGCACAAAGAGGCATTCAATTAAGTGCTGTGGCTGACACAATCACTTGGCACTTACATTGGTTTCCTATACTATAAAACCGACAGTCTTTTGTAATGATTTGAAGAGCACATTTAAAATCACTTTAAGGCTTCATGGTTCATTTTGTTAATGCCACTTTCTTCTTGGCCATAAATATATAAAAACACCCATTGGGAGATTCATAAGACTAGAGAGCATGCAAAAAAAAAAAAAGTGGGGTTCCTCTTTGCACTTGTTCAATGTATGTGTAATTAGGGAGGCCCATAAGAGCCTGGAATATAAGATAACAAGTATTTACTTATTTGGAAAAAAAACTCACAATAAAGATAGAGAGCCTCTGTGGACACTGGAAGCTATGAGCCAAACTCTCACCACCAACCAAGGGAAAGCAAGCATGTTTCCTGTCTGTGTTTATGGTACCTCAGACCATACCCTAATGGGCCAATACCCAAGAGGCTATTGGCTGAATTAATTTCCACAACACCTCCCCCTTTTGTCTAAATAAGAGAGTTCTAAACCCAATACAAAACTATATACAATAAGAACAAATATCAAGTATTGTTCAGAAAAAAGAAAAGGCTAAAATATATACACAAAAATAGAACTACAACCCACATGAACAGCCTCAAGCAAGAAACACAAGCTACATGTTCAGTCTAAGGTAATGAGCAAATGACAGATATTATTTCAATAGCTGTCCTATCCTGATGAGTCTAAATCTTGTACTAAAATGTCTTAGCCAAGTTATGAAAGGAAAGTAGCTATGACTATTTAGTCTTCTACTCCATCAAAGACATGAGAAGGAAAATAGTATACCTGAGTAAGCAATGGTGTAAGCAAACAACTTCCAAAAGGTGTGAGAAATGACAGATACAGCTGGCTACCTGGACAATCATCCAAAGTCTCATTTGTAATTTTGGGGCAACCAAATTTGGCTAAGACCTAGAGCATCTGACAAACCATTTTCAGAGGCAGGAAAATTCAAAAGACTGTCCTATCCTGTCTTCACAAGGTTCAACAGTCATTTTTGCTTGTATCTTGTTTCTCAGGTTTGGACAGCGTGCATTTTGTCAGTAGTAAAGGTAAGGGAAATTCTTTGCCCAAATACTAGTTTTGCCAAGAAGAAAACAAGCTCCAAGTGGAGTATTTTCAGTGTTTAACATTCTCTCAAGAATAGATCAGTGCTGCCAGGAGTAATCGTGTCTTGTGTTAGCAGAACCCTGAGTTATTTAGATGTCATATTCTATAGTTCTTTGAGGAGTTTGAAGATTACTCATTCATGTGGAATATAATCTCTGTGCATTTAGAGAATCTGATTAGTCTAACTCTAAGTATGGCAAATATGGGTGACTATTGACTTATAATTCTTGAAACTGTATAGCTTAAAGACTAAGGTTTCACATTATAAAATTAAACAGTCTTTAAACAGATATGCAGCAAATGAGGACAATGATCCCAAAATGTAAACAATCTATGTAAGTATCTTGATCAGAGATAGAAATGCATAGTGCAATATGAAAAATATATCCTAAAATTGCATCAATATCCAAAATGTCTTAAGCAGAGGTAGAAACATGCATGCATACAATATGACAGAATAACTTTGCATAAGTGCACAAATATTGTAAACAGAAATAGGAGCATATCTAATATAACAAATATAATTTTAATTTGTATCAATATACAAATTATCTTAGACAAGGGTACAAAGATAATTTTACAGTTCAGTTTCTTGTGATTTGGCCAGTATCTAAGGAGTCCTGTTAGTTCTTTCACAATGTTCCCAGTAGAGTGTACTACATAGCACCCTCATCCTTACTCTAACAGGGACCCTTACTCTAACTGGTTCACACATAAGAAGCACTTCCCTGGTCTGGGGTCTGGTTTCACTTCACATACCATAAAATTAATTTTGGCATCAATTCATTGTTTGCAGAGGATGTGTTTGGAAGCAAGGACTGCTCCTGGGGTTTGTGAGGTTCTAGGTTCTGAGTATGTGTAAAAAGTTACTGAGCCCCGGGTTATGAACTTGTGTGTAATGTTCACAATAAAAGAATTCTAGATTCAGAATGTTCTGAGAGAAAATATGTGTGAACAACAACCCCCCAAAAATTGTCAGTCAATTCTTTGAAAGTTTACTGTATTTTTTTCAAAATGTATTCCTTAATTTTAAAGTAAGATATGAGAAAAGATTGTGGATGGAATTTCTAAATGGTAATATTTTATGTCATTCCATTTTGAAATGTCTGTACTTTAGTTTAAAATGTATTATGTGTAACTGTTTTAAGAGTATCTTTTTAGTTACAAAACTATTTAGTTTTGCATTTTCTAGTCCTCAGGTGGCTTTCTTTTATTTCACATGGCTTCCCTTTCACCAGCTCATTTTTACATTATTTTCTCTTTTGCCATCTTTCCATGCACACTGTTTATTTGAGCATTTATCTTTTGTTTGCAAGTGGAGCTCTGTGAGACTTGTTTCAAATATGTCACAAATGATTATTCTTGGGGTTTTGCCTCTGGAGACGGCTTGGGAAGTGTGACCTGTGCCACCACACCCATGCTGCTATTCTGCATATCACTGTATCACACTTCGTTTCAAGAGGTGTCACAGTGACAGCAATTTGTAAAAGATCTTTCAGTATGTGCAATTCTTTATTTTCAGGTGTCCCATTAGTTTTATATGTAAATGTCTTAAGAGAAAGAGTTTGGGATGGAGACGATTTAGCAGTTAAGAGGGCAGGAAATTTATACGTTTGTCACCTGTGTATTAAGTTAATGTTACAAAGAATAGCGTATAAATAATGTAATTAGATATGTTGGAAAGAAGAAAGATAGTAATGAAAGCCATTCAATGGTAGCCTTTTGAACTGCTACATGTGAATAGAGTAATAGTGTCCAGATTAAAAGATAGTGATATGCCAGGGGTTTTCCTCATTCTCTATGAAAATAATTTATATCTACATCTCTCTGGCGGTAGAAGAAAAGGCGACTTCGCTGTTCTGTGCTTGTTTCAAGAGTTTATTGCAATGCTACAATTGGTGCTGCCTTGACCTTGGCATATGACTGCCAACAGGTGGGGCAGTCCTGAAGTGAGATTGTGGTACTGTGAGCTTCTCCTCGCCAAAGGAAAGCCTTTCCAGACTTGGTCAAAGGAGATGCATGGCATTTGAATTCTGCAGCTCTCCTACTTATGTTTATATTTACTATCTGGCTGCATTAAAACTATTTTAGAGTATTTAGCTCTTTGGTTTTCCTTAAATATACCATGAATCATATGCTTTAAAATAGTTCTTTTCATGTTTTAGTACTAGCATCCATCACTGAAAAATGAACATCAAAATAAAATGAAGACACTGCATCTTTATCATTCATTCACTCAGGGAAGGCTACTGTGAATTTCTTAAGTTGGTTCTCTATCTGGCCAGCACAGCTGGGTCTGTGTGGACCTGAAGGTAAGGCAGGTGAGGAAGTCTGGTCTCTTGCGGCAATAACCAAGACAGGCCAGTTTCACTTTCAGACTTGCTATGACTTATGCATACATGGAACAGTATCCAAGGGATCCAGTGTCTTCTTCCCAGCCTCCATACGTTCATGCGCACATGTGACTCATATAAATTCACTCAACCCAACACAGGTATACACATTTTAAAAATTCTTAAATGAAAATAGAATTATTTTTTTCTTAGCAATTGGAAGTCTGAACTACAATAGCAGAATGGCCTGGATCCTGACTTCTATAGACCTGTTGCTCGATTTGAACTTACTTAGGACTTTTTCCAGAAAAGGACATTGAAGATTTTTAATTTCATATACCCACTGTCCACTTTTCTGATATAAAAACAACAGTGCGATTTACTAAAAGTTGCTTTCTCAGTGTGTCACTGATAGCAATGACAGAATTCATTCACCTGCATATATCGAGGAATCCAGTGCTAAAGTTGGTACTGAAATTCACCTATTTCCTTAACTCCTCCAACCCCCATTCCAGTGTGAAACAAGATAACAAGGAAAGAGAGATGATGGATAGATGAATGTACTGACATAGAGAAATTATGGAAATGAAGGCAGAGAACATGTAAAGAAAGAAACAAAGCAGGTAAGAATCGTGATGCTAGATATCTGATTTATGAAATTATAGCCTCATTTCATTCATGGTTTCTATTTGATGTAGTATTCCTAAACTACTAATGGATCTGAAAGTCCAAATCATATAAAGAGAATCAAATAAAAGGCAAGGGAAGCATACCTTTTCAAATGGCAGATAAATCTCTACACTGTTATCAATTGTGCAACTTTGAAGTTTACAGTGAATAAAAAGTACTCACAAATGATGCTCAGGAAACCTACATCTAGTTGGTTGTTGTTCAGGGACTATATACTGTAGCACGAATAATAAAAGCTTAGAGACAGATATTGGGGTTCAAACTGAAGATCAGAAAAGCAAAGACGCTAAGCTACTAGAGAGCTCTTTCCTCTATGAACTCTTCAGACTGACAGAAAGAGTTCCTGTCTCATCCTGCCTTATATTTCTCTTTAGTGCTGAGATTAAAAGCGTGGCCCACCACTGCCTGGACTCTATGGCTAACTAGTGTGACTGGCTGCTGGGATTAAAGGTGTGTGGCAACACTAGCTGACCTATACGGCTGACTAGTGTGGCTGTTTTGTGTTCTGATCTTCAGGCAAGCGTTAGTTATTAAAATACAATTGAAATGCCCCTGCATTTCTCCTGTTTGTGTAAAAAAAAAAAGAAGGA